AAAAGCAGGACTAGAATGGAGAAAGCATAAACTAACTAAACCATTTAATCCAATGGAATAGCAAATTGAGACTTTGATGTGGATAGAGGTTGAAGAATATCAATCTCATTGGAGAAAAAAGTTTCGTCTACAAAATTGGTATAACGTGTCATTGTTTCTGAACACACAACTTCACCAATTAACACAAATAATTCTTCACTTTTAAAGATCCGAACTTCTCAAATTTTTCAATGTTCTCAACACAATCCTAAGGCAACAAAACAAAGTCTCAAGTCCATTATTTTTCCCAAGTTAAGCACACGAATGTAATCTCCTTTTCTAAGAGTTTCAACATAAGTCCAAGGCAATACAAAGGTTCCCAGTCCATGAAATTTCACAACTTTAACACAATTTCTTCACCAATTAATCTCACAACATAACTCAAATCCAAAGATCCCAACATCCCAGTAAATCAATATTTATTCACACCAAGTTATTCACATAACCATATCTCCATTTACAAGATCCGAAACCACCAATTCCACAGATTTACTCAAGGTCTCGATTACACAAGATTCACTATTCACAATTCACAAAAAGATTCGCAATCCACAATTCAGAATAACATGATTCTCAATCTCCAACGAGTCGCACATCGCAAAACAGGGATCTAAACGAACGAAAATAAAAGAGAAAATCGAGATTACCACACTCCTCGATTCTACACGAGGAGAGGAAAAGCCAATTGAGATTCGAACATGGTCAGTAGCGGCCTCGGGAAGACTCGGCTCGCTGCAGCCCGGACACCCACACGTTCTGCCGCTGCTCTGCCGCTGCTCAAGCTCTCGGTGGCCGTTAGAAATCAAGGCGCCTCAGTCCACGAAAAGCCCACTCTCGGATGGTGCTCAAATCACCGGAAACAGGCCCTCAGCCCGGATACTCTTCAATCAGAAAATGGCGCCTCAGCCCGCCGTCAGAAAGAAAAACTCAGCAGTTGAAGGTCGGGTCGGACCTGGTAGCGTCGGCGATGTTTGGTTTCAGCCGCGACTAGTACCTGCCAAATGAAGGTCTTTGGAAACCTCTCAGCCCACTGGTCTGGTCGCCTGGAAATCTGGTGGTTGGCGGTTCCGGGTCGCGGTTTGCCCGGCGTTCGCTGCTCCTTACCGGAAATGACTGCTCTCTGTCCGTTCGGTAGGGCTCGCCCGTTCGGCGGCTGCGGCTGCGGCTGCGCGTGGAACTCGCGGCGGCGACGATGGATGGTGAACGGACGCCAGCAAGACTGCTCGTGGACAGGGGTTCGACGGCTGCTACTCTCGACGGTGCTGGCTTCAACGCGACCGGACGTTGGTCGAAGGAGACGACGGCTGGGGGAAGGTTGCCGAAGGTCGGTCGGTCGGTCGGGGAAGAGGAAGATGGCGACTTGGCCGTAAGATTTGGTGAAAAGTGAAAGCCGATAGAGATGATCGACGGGAAAATTTTAGGGGAGGGAGATGCTTTTTCTGTCGATCGATCGATTTCGATCGGATTTCCTGATTCTGCCGTGCGAGAGATGAAGGAAGAATGAAGGCGGCGGCTGTCTCTTCCGGTAAAAATAGGGTTGCCAAAATGGTTGCTTGGTGCCGTGTGAGAGATGTAAGAGAAGGGCTGTGCGGTCAACGAAGAATGAGACGAAACCCTAGCTTAATGTTGGGCTTCTTAGCATTGGAGCATATTTTATTGATTAGTAGTTCATCTTTGGGCTTTTTTTTTGTGTACCACAAGGGATCTCTTAACCCATTATACAGAGTCTAATATGATGCCCACTTAAAACTTAATAATCTATATATATGTAGACAAAATATTTAATAAAATTATTTGATTTTTTCCTCCATTTTCTGTTACAAATTCTATCATTAAATTTTTTCTACCTTTCATATTAATAAACCCCAAAATAAGAACACTCCAATGAGATTGCTCTTCTCCCAAATTTTCAAAATCACCGAACCCTAGCTCCCGTCAAATTCAGCCGCTTTGAGCCTCCTTCTGTTGCCGTCCGGGTCGTCGGTGGACTCTTCGTTGCACAATTATGTTTTAGTCGCGGAGCTCTCTTTCTTCCGTCGATTGCTTAGGGGTTCAGGCGGTCTTTGCCAGGTCGAGCAAGTGGTCAGATCTGTGCGAAGTCCGACAGCGTCCCGGAGTAGTGTGGAAGGAGGAGTACTGGGTCTGGAAATGGTGGTGGCTCAAACCGCATATGTTCTCTTCGGATTGGGGCAGTTCTTCTCGCCGGGTCCTGAGGTTAGCTCTCTGCTCGATCTCTTGCTCCGTACTCGATCTCTTGCTCCTGCCAGGGTCGGTTTGTGACTTTCGATCGCCGGCATCTCGGCGTCACTGGGGGGAGGGTCAAGGTTCCGTCTTTAGGGCTGGATGGAGAGCATCTCGGTCGTCTGGGCTATGTAGATTAACTATTTAATATTTATTAATTAAATATTAGTCATCTTTAACGCAGAAAATTAACGTTTTAGAAGCTCACATGACTGTCAATCATCCATTCACACTCTCTATCCCAACATATGAAAGTGGCATTTGCAGAAGCCAATAACATCTAAAAATAATAGAATATAATAAAATTGCATAATTATATTGAATATAGAATTCATATAAAAGAATTTAAACATAATAATAGGTATACATAAAAAAAATGAATATAGGGCTTACCAAACAACATTGATTCATCGATGTTGTCGACAGCACGCAAAGTGAGAAAACTTCTAAAAGAGAATCGAAACAATGGAAATGGCCCATTAAATTTATAGAATTCGATTCTCCCATGAAGTATGATGCGATATTTGTCAATAGTTGATTTGTGAATGTCAATGTTGCTCTCCACTTGATAATGATGATTGATGAAAGACATAAACTTCTCCATCCTGAAGCTCGTCAATGAACTTGGGTATGTGAACATGCCTAATGAGACCGGGTATCTGCCAACCCTTTAAAAAACCAAATTATAATACTATACATCTGGGAAAAAAAAAGAAATTAATAATAGAAAGAAGTGACAAACCTCATTAACATGCAAAATTAACTCAAGCACATTTTTATAAGAAATATTCTCGGACGATTTTTGAAACATGCGAATAATACAAAGCTTTAGCAATGGCCTATTGGACCTCTAGACTTGATCAAACCCCGTGGTGGCGTCATTTTTAAATAATTTAAAATTAAAGGTTGTATTTCTACGATCTACTTCGTAAATCGAGTGTGTTGAATGCAATAATCACGGTTTGCATTGGTCTATTTATAGTGAAATTTATGTACATATCATTTGTTAATTAGATCAATGCAGATACTTTTAGAGATTTAGTTTATGCTTTAACGTTACATATCAAATTTTTTATTGGTAAGATTATAAAAAATTTCAATTTGTCCGATTATTAATTGGAATAAAAATTGTGCAAATTAGTTTTACTTTCTTAGGGTACTATTTTTGAATTTTAACAAGGTTAAATTACTATCAATTATAGTTTTAAAAAAACTTAAATTGTGCTACCTCATGGAATCAAAGTTTAGAATTTATATTAAAAATTACGAATCGTAATCTAATATTTTTTTAAATGAAATTTACTTTCCGGACTGTAGTAAACGTTTTTTTATATTACTACAAATATGAAAAGAATTGAATCTAATTTTTTTTTTTTGCAAATGAAATTTATTTACTTTCCTATCTTTAGTGAACTTTTTTTAAAATTTTATTTTTGTCATATCTATATATATTGAAAAAGAGAGGTCAATAAATCATTTGTGGAAACTTTTAAAAAGCTGGTCAACAACACCATTGACTTCCCATTCGTGGAAACCTAATAAAAAATCCATTATTTACTTTTTGATTTTCTTTTTATTTTAAATCATTCCAAAACAGAATCAGAGAAAAAACAGAATACTGGAATCATTCCAATATAAACAATTTGGCCGGATTTTCTTTCCAATTATTCAGGAAACCACCGGATTTTCTCAACTATGAAATCGAAATCATAGGAATCCCAATTTTTTAGCTAACAAATTTGGAGATTTTTTTGGATATATTCCAACTTATCTTTAACATCTATATAATTACATTACTGATATATTTTTGCATATACACGGGGGAATATTCAACTTAAATGAATAAACTATCTCGTGTAGATAGTTACGAAAAAATATCTCGTGTAGATTGATATTCAACTTAAATTACTATATCAATAAATTCTAAATAAATTAATTTAGCATAAAAATATATTTTGATGTATTTGACTGCACACGTAGAAAAATTTTATACTAAAATATATAAAATTTAGGTAAACATTTATTTCAAGCATAACTAACGTATATTACTATAAATTGGAAAAAATTAACTAATTAATAATTTATCAAGTGTCTTAATTGAAAACAATTAAGTTTTATAACTTTGAAATAAATAAGATTACATCCACTTTGTATTAAATTATTTTAGAGACTTAATTGCATTTACAAAAGAAATATTATTTTAAATATAACCACAATTTTATAACTTTAAGACGAGATATGGAATAAAAAAAATTATTCTAATAAGATATTAGTTCAAACAGATAAATTTAATAGGAATTCTATGTATTTCTTAGATTTGCAAATGTTAGAATTTATATACTTATGTAGAAAAAACTCTAAACAATATTTATATGGGTTTTTCATATCATTAAAATAAAAAAAAGATAAAAAGTAAATTATTATATTATGTTACATTTTTATATTAATAAATATTTTTCTATAATTTATATGATTGATCATTATGCTTCTTACTAGTTTTTAATTACGGTGAGAGTAATATTTTTTATTTTTCAGCGGACTTCGGAGGGGCCGTCTTCGGGATTATGTTCTTGGTTCCCTTGGGTTTTTTGTTAAGAATCATACCACCAAATGGATGGATGACAATCGAAAGTATGAAACAGTGAAACAGAGAGAGAGAGAGAGAGAGAGAGAGAGAGAGAGAGGAAGAGAGGGGGCACCAACCTTTGATACCACCAAAAATGTTGGAAGGGTAAATTTGGAGTAGTCAGCATCACCAACCGATCAGCAACATAAAACCTCACCAACAATCCAACTCTCTTTCTATTTTACTCTTTGATTGCCTTTAAAGTTGTCGTCTTCTTCACGCCGCTCATCTAATTAAGCAGAGAATCTAACTAATTCTGGAAAAGTTTCGATGAGTTTCGAATGATTAAAGCGAATTAAGAAGTTAGCGGCAACTGATAACTTATACCAAATATTCTTTTCCATTTCTGAAGCTGCTTCATTTGGGTAAGCTTCTTCGAGTTTAGCAAAAGTTAAGATTATTTCTATATCTATATGTATTTCCTGGATTTAGGTTGTTTTGCTAATGGATCTTCTGTATGGATCTGTTTATTGTCATTTTTTGTGAAACAAAGCTTTTCGGAACATGGACAATGGGGAAGTTCTGTGCAGTTGACAGTAATTCCGTTTCTCACTGATGTTTGTCCTCACAAACAGAGCAGACTTGGATAGAGTTTAGAATGGTGGTTATGTCCACATTTCCTATATTAAAACCCAATTAATTATGTTCCGAGGATGATATTGTATGGTTCTAATGATAGTTTCTGACCTCCGTAACTTGCAGTGCTTTAAAATGCGGCATCTTTTTGGATATAGAAAGGACATAAAATTGAAAAGGAGGAACAAATCCCAAAAAACATGGATCAGGTGCTCTTTAGCATACTTCGTGTGGAGCCTTGTTGGATTTGTTCTCTTGTTTCATCTCTACACTTCAATATGCCGCCTTGAAATTCTAAATAGAGAGCTCATTGTGAAAATGAGTCAGCATCCGCTCTTAAGTGAAGCAGAAGTAATTGAGGATGAAAGTATCCAAATGCCTCCGCCAAGAAGGAGATCTCCACGTGCTGTTATGAGAAAACCTAAGCCGCCAACCACTTTAATTGATGAGTTTCTTGACGAGTATTCCCAAATACGGCATGTATTCTTTCTTAAAATAGAGACGGCTATAGATACCATGATGTGTGCTGAAAGCGACAAATTTTACTATTACCCAGGGAGAACATGGCTTGACACTGAAAGAAATCCGATTCAGGCCCATGGGGGTGGTATTGTGTATGACGAGAGGTCGAGTAAGTACTATTGGTATGGGGAATATAAAGATGGACCCACTTACCAAGCTCACAAAAATGGATACTCACGGGTATATTCTTGATTTATGATATAGTTTCCTTTTGTTCATATATACATATATTAATTCTTGAGGCATTTATTGTTGTCTAATTAAACATATGTTGTGATAGTGTAATTTGTATTGTGGAACTGCTTTGCTTGTTGCTTTAGGAAGTTTTACTCTTTACTTGTGGAGTTTAGTAGAATCTTCTTGATGAGCTCTGTTATAGTTATGTTCTTGCCATCATCAATTCTGGTTGACTCCCCATTTCTGATTTCCACAGCAAAGCCCTTGGCAAAGATTGGGATAATTTCAAGTCAGTTTGACCAAAGCCATGAGCAGTTATGAGCCTTCACAGCAGAGAAAATTGAGCAGTTTGGGAAATATCTTTCTTTCAAAACTCTGCTTATCAATAGATGGGGCTGGGTAGTTATTCTCCAAAGCTGTTTGCATATTAATGCAACATTGAAGTTCTTCAGGTCCATGAAACCTAATCCACCTTCCTCCTTAGGTATAATTAAGAAATCCCATGTCTTCCAGTGGATACCTCTATCCTGATTCTCAGTTTTACTCCACCAAAAGTGTGAGCAGAGTTTGGTGATATCAGCACAAAGAGAAGATGGCAGTCCGAAGCAAGACATTGAGTACACTGGTAGAGATTGGATCACAGCTTTGAGAAGTACCTCCTTGCCTGCATGAGATAGAACTTTTGCCTTCCAGCTGTTGAGTTTTGATTTGACTGAATCCAAGATAAACTGGAAGGCTTGGAGTTTGGATTTGCCAATCCCAAGAGGTAGACCAAGGTACCTAGTGGATCTGTGAACTGAGATGCCTTGCATTGTGTCACAAATTTTCCTCTAAAGATAGAGTGGTGTGCTTCTACTGAAGAAAATTGCTGATTTGCTCAAATTAACCCTTTGGCCAGTGAACAACCTGTATCTTTCTAAGATGTTGAGAATTTTGATAGCCTGATCATCTCCAGCTTTGTAGAAGAAGAGAGAGTCATCTGCAAAAAGCAGATGAGAAATAGCTGGACCATTTCTGGACAATTTCATCCCAGTAAGTTCACCAGAATCCACAGCATTTGTGACTAGGGCAGAGAGCATTTCAGCAACAATAGAAAGACGTAAGGAGAAAGAGGGTCTCCTTGCCAAATTCCCCTTGAAGGAGACACAAAACCACAAGCAGCACCATTCACTTTGAAGGAAAAAGAACTATAGGATATGCATACCATAATCAAATTCACAAATTCCAGCTGGAATCCCATTTGTAACATAATCTTCTTAATACAGAGCCACTCCACTCTGTCAAATGCTTTCATTAGATAAAGTTTTAGAGCCATGAAGTGGTTTTTCCCAGAAGAGTGCCTATTGAGGAAATGGAAGGCTTCTTGACCAATTATGACATTGTCAAAGATTTGTCTACCTTTGAGGAAAGCAGACTGTGAGTGACTAATGCAACAATCCAAGCAGTTTTGAAGTCTCAGAGAAATGATTTTTGAGAGGATTTTGTAGACCACAGTACACAAACTGATAGGTCTATATTGAGAAAGAAGTTCAGGATTAGGACATTTTGGGACCAGAGTCAGAATAATGTGGTTCCAATATTTAAGGAAAGAACCATTTCAGAAAAGAAACTAGAAATAGCTGCAATCAAGTCTGATTTGATCAAATTCCAAAAAGATTGATAGAAGAGGGTTGTCATACCATCCTCTCCTGGTGATTTCTCTGGACTGAGGCTGAAGAGGGCTAGTTTGATTTCATCTTCAGTGACTTCTCTAAGGAGGTTTTGGTTCATCTCTGTGGTGATGGAAGTTGGTATCAGGGGTAAGAGAGAGTCCCCTCCCCATGATCCTTCTGTGGAGAATAAAGTAGAATAAAAGTCTGAGATGTGATCAGCAATGTCCTGGGGAGTGGAGCAAACTCTTTGTTGGTCAGTGAGGAGCCTCGTGATGGCATTTTGTCTTCTTCCGTGCTGAGTGAGGGCGTGGAAGAATTTTGTGTTGCGGTCTCCCTCTCTGATCCACCTTGCTTTGGCTTTTTGCTGCCAATATAATTCTTCTTGCTTGTGTACTGTCTCCAGTTCTCTTTTGGTGGCATGCCACTCCTCCCAGTTATTATCCAGCCCATTTTCCTGGAGAATGGCAAACTTCTTATTGAGGTTGTCTATAGTGGAGTGTTGATGGTTCCTGAATTTTGCACTCCATATGAGTAGGCTCTGTCTGGTGAGCTTTATCTTTTCCTTCAGTTGAAAGAAGGGTGTTCCTCTGAGTTTTACAGACCAAGCATCCTTAATCACTTCTTCAATTCCTTCTCTTGAGAGCCACCTTTTGTCAAAGTGAAACCGAGAATGGATTTTGTCTTGTTTTGTCCCAGAGTTAAGAAGGAGGAGAGAGTGATCTGAGCCACTCCTGGCCACATTTGAGATTGAAGCAGTAGGGAACTCTGCTAGCCATTCAATAGAACCAAAACCCCTGTCTAATTTGGCTTCTACCAATCCCTCTGAGGTTCTGTTATTTCACCAGGTGAACTTGTAACCTTCCATCTTGATCTCAATCATGGACATTCTTTGAATAAAGTCTCTGAAACCCCACAAGCTTGTGTCTGATCTCATATTCCCACCCTTTTTTTTTCTGAATTGGAGGTTATGTCATTCCAGTCTCCAATTATAAACCACTTGGCACCCCATTTGTCCATATCCATCTCCAATTGGAGCCATTGTGTTGATCTGATTGTGACACAGGTGCTCATATAAACAAAGACCCCCCAACTCTTGAGTGAATTATTGGTTGTGAACTCTACTGCTATATAGAAGTCTCTGTTGATAATGTTGGATACAGTCACATCCCCTGACCACATTAACAAAAGTCCACCACTCATACATCTTGGGTCCACTATGTAGCATCATGATTCATAGCCAAGTTTCCTAGCAACTGATTTAACAAACCCTTTTTGATTTTTAGTTTTAGACAAAAAAATGAAGGTTGGGTGGTGAGTTCTGTGCAACTCTCTGATTTGGGAAACTGTAGAGGGCCCACCCAGCCCTCTACAATTCCACACCACAGCTAGCATTGCTCACTTGAGTGCCATTCAAGGCTGGCAACCCCCACCTGTGATTCTGAACTTTTCAACTTTTTGCTTCCTTCTGTGTTGATAAGTTGACCATCATTGTTTGTTATGTGTGTATCCTCATCATCTCTGGTTCTTTTCGCCACTGGAATTGTGATTAGTTGTTGAGAATCTTCCTCTTGCCTCTGAAGTCTTCCTACCTTGGAGAGAGATCTTTTCCAGAGTTTTGGTTTAGGCTTTTGAATATTTGGATGCAATTGGATAGCTTGGATTGGTGTTGGCAATCAATATCCATTTCCTTGGGAGGTTCTATAATGGTGTTTATAAGTTCAGAGGTAATTAGTGCCAACTCCTTTTGATGTGTATGGAGTACAGGTCGTTGAGGCTGGGAATGGTTGGATTTATGTTGGTTATCTTGAGGGTGAGATGATTTTGAAGAGGACCCCTGGTGCTGTGGGGATTCCACATTCACAGGGATAATATGATGACTTTCTTCCACTTGACTGCTGGTGGTTTGAATAGGATTCTTGTGAGAAGGGGATGGAGGTTTTTCAGGTGGACTATGAGATTCTGATGTGCCTGTTCCTGACCAATATTGGCCATCAGGTGCTCTCATCCAATCTCCATATTGACCTTCTAGGACTGAGTCATTCTTAATGTCATTCATCCTCTTAGCACAGCTTCTGTCTAGGTGACCGATGAAACCACAGTAGTGACAGTGATTCACCAATTTTTCATATTTAAAGCTCACACTAACAGATAGGTCCCCTAGTCGAAGATTTGCACAACGAGGCAAGGGTTCTGATAATTTGACTGAGACTAGCAGCCTTAGAACTTTCCCTTTGTGCAATCCAACCCCCACTACTATCACATTTTTTACTGAAGAAAAGAACTTACCAATCTTTAGGCGGGCATCTGTGCTCAACCAATTCAGAGGTATGTTGAACACTTGGACCCAGAGATTAAGTTCCTGAAATACTTGGTTGTTGATTGAAAGACCGTGTTTCCATTCAGCTAGAACCAGATAATGGTTCTCAAAAATCCAGTTAGCACCTTTGGTTACTCGCTCCAAATCGTCTCTGTTTTGGAATAAGAATTGGAAGTAATTTGGACCGAGCTCTTTAACCTCCATTGGTTGTTGAAGGCGCTAAATCTGAGACATTGTACGTTTTATGCCAATCCAGCTGGCTTTTCTGTCTCCTATAATTTTGCCAAATAAACTTCTATTACATTCCTCGTCACTGATGCGAATGTCGTCGCTCGCTATATCGATAAGCTTATGTTCCCTGTCTGACAGGGAGAATCCTTTTAGTCGTTGGGCTAGATCATCATCTTGCCCGACACATGGGGTAGAAGTCATGAGTAGCAGAACCCTACTCCTCAATTTGTATTGACTTTAGAATCTATATATATTGAAAAAGAGAGGTCAATAAATCATTTGTGGAAACTTTTAAAAAATTGGTCAACAACCCCATTGACTTTCCATTTGTAGAAACTAATTTAAAAATCCTTTCAAAATATATGTTTTTTTTTTCCTGTTTTTTAGGGATGGATATACCTTTAACGTGATAAGATATATACATGTGATTGCATATTTTGTTGTTGCATCCCAAAAATCATGGTATTTAAAATCTATCCAAATACAATCCATAATTATCTTATCACTTTTGTTAATAAAAAATTGTATAAAAGGATATTCACTACCACCATTACAACTCATCATTCACGAGTTCAGAGAAAAAAAAAATACAGAGAATAATTTTTCATCGCATATACAATATAATGCTTCCAGGCTGGGGTAAACTTGATATATAATGCTTCCAGACTGGGTACGTTAACAAAAGAAACAAACCTTTTTTTGCGTCTGAGAGCAGTCCGCATTATTGAAACCCATCACGAACGGGAGAGCTATAACGCATTTTCATGATGAACAGGTAATATTTACCTTTGTTATTTCAATTTTATATAATTTAGAAAATTATTTTAATTAATATTTATAACAAACCTTTTTTGCGTCTGAGAGCAGTCCGCATTATTGAAACTCATCACGAGCAGGCTGGGGTACACTTGATATATAATGCTTCCAGACTGGGGTACGTTAACAAAAGAAACAAATCTTTTTTTCGTCTGAGAGCAGTCCGCATTATGGAAACCCACGGGAGAGCTATAACGCATTTTCATGATGAACAGGTAATATTTACCTTTGTTATTTCAATTTTATATAATTTAGAAAATTATTTTAATTAATATTTATAACAAACCTTTTTTGCGTCTGATAGCAGTCCGCATTATTGAAACCCATCACGAACGGGAGAGCAGTCGGCATTATTGAAACCCATCACGAACGGGAGAGCTGTAATGCATTTTCATGATGAACAGGTAATATTTACCTTTGTTATTTCAATTTCATATAATTTAGAAAATTATTTTAATTAATATTTATAACAAACCTTTTTTGTGTCTGAGAGCAGTCCGCATTATTGAAACCCATCACGAACGGGAGAGCTGTAACGCATTTTCACGATGAACAGGTAATATTTACCTTTGTTATTTCAATTTTATATAATTTAGAAAATTATTTTAATTAATATTTATAAATTTGTATCGTAGGTGCTTTCATTAAATGTATAATACATTATCCGAATATGAGAGCAACAAACTTTATATAAACTGAGAGCAGTCTAATTTATGTAAAATATGTAAACATTAAACGTATTTTATATATAAAATTTTATATACTTTTAAACATGTTAGTTGGGCAAATTTTAAGGATATATATATATATGTGTGTGCTAACTTTAAGTATATATATTTTTTTTATAAAATAGTCTAGACAAAATTGAGGTAATTTCACATTTTTCAATAATAATATAAAATATTTTAATACTTTCACATATGTTATATAATAGTCTGCGTATTCTTAATGTCTTTTGGTTGTAACACTGTTAACACATATAATATTAGATACTTTTAAACATATTTAGATATTTTTTTTACTCATTCTTTAATATCTATGTGCATAAAAAGAGAATAAGATTTATAAAAAAATTTCCGGCAATATACTAAATGTTAGATAAAAATCTCATTTTATTTGTTATATAATATTTCGAGGTGCATTAATTTTGATTTGTATGTGTAAAATTGATAAATTAAGCGTATGAAAAGGAACGTACGAATTACTGTAAAGATTTAAAAAATAAAAAACAAATCTAATTTTTGAATATTTTCTAAACGAATTTATGTCATAATTCGTCATAATTTTCCCACATCATGTCAATATTTATTTTATCTATACTAGGTAAAAGGTAAATCATTATCTCAATATTTATTCTATATATTCTAAGTAAATCTTCTCATCTATCTCAACGGTCTGCAGGTAGTATTTCATACTTTTCTATTCATAATCAAATATACCAAACCTTCACAAATTTTACTTCACAAAGAAAGTGTTCAATAATTTATATTTTTTTTCCTTCTTTGCAATCCATTTATTTTTATTACATATATATAAATTATATTATTTTTAATATTTCACACGTTAAACATTTCAGGAAAATATACCATCCCGTGCATCGCACGGGTACTGTACTAGTATGGAAGGAAAACTAAGGAATTAGAAGCAAGATGACCTTGACATACAAATGATTTTCAGAGATTGAAGAAGAACAGGAAGATCATATTTCCGAAGGCTCTCCGCCGAGAGAATCAGAAGCTCTCCGCCGAGAGAATATATGAAAATAAAAAAAAAAAATCTAGTAGAAGGGGTCAATAATGGATATTTATAATGTTTATCGGATAATCAAAATGTGTAGTAGATATCTATATCTATAGTAATATAACAACCTATAGTATTTTGGGTTGATTAGATTACAACTAAATCATTAATCTGTATTCTTACTCCGTTTTTTTTTTCTAATGCTTATCGGATAATCAATTTGTTTAGTAGATATATTTATTTCTATAACAACTTTTAGTAAACGATTATATTATGGACTTTATGAATAAAAAATTTAAAATAAATATCAAGATTTTCAATTAAATATCCCAACATTCATTCACGCTTAAAATCTAGATTTTAGATTTTGTACATAATGTTATATATCCCAAACATTGATTTGACTTTAACAATCCATTTGTTGAATTATCAAATATTAACAGCATTCATGTGAAAACTGAAACGAGTAACTCAATTAACACAAATAGAAACATGAATATATTCAACCAAATTATAAAAAAAAAAAATTACCAATAACCTCGGCAACTATATGTTACCTAGAGGCTGTAAATCCCCTCTATATATAATTTCAGAATGCGCTGAGCCTACGTGGCAAACTCTCATGCTTCGGAATCCTATTTGGCAAAAAATCATGCTTTGGAGTTAGGCTTGGATATAAATTAATATTTGTATTAATTGTATTTTAATATCATTTCCTATTATAACTATTGAATTGCAAATATATTTTAAAAGTTGATAACTTTTGTATTTCTTATCGGTTTTACATATATAATATATCAAATTATTCATCTTTTGATGAGTTTCGATTTGACATCCATATTGTATATATAAAATAAATAAATCATATTTATCTTTATAATAATAATAAAACTATTTATTATTAGAAAATAAAATTATTTATTAATTAATATATTTATGTTTAATGTAGTTATTATATGTTATAAGGTAGAAAATTTATTATAATATAACACATATAAGTCGCACAAGTAACATGTGTCATACTAAAATATATAATAATATATACTCCCTCATATTTTTATTATTTGTCACTTTGGCTTAATTGATCATTGCTAAAATAAATGTCGTTTTTGATATTTTGTTCATATTTTTTTCATTTTTAACCCGACATATAATACACAATGTCTCTTCATATCCCATCTCAATCGTTTCTCATAACATCCATTAAATAGAGTTAATATTAACAAGAACAAAAAAATCTTAATTAGTTTGTTGCATTTGAATTGATATTATGAAGTCCGTTTGTATTTTACTATTTATATTATATATATAATACAAAACAGTAATATATATCCTTATAAATAAAATTTAAATTTATTTATTAAACTAAATTAAAATAAAACTATAAATTATTTTATAAAGTAATAGAAATTGGTATATATTCTTTTAAAAATGATATTTATTTCAAATCTAATTGGTATGTTGTCAATGTAATAAAAATAAATAATTATTTATATAAATTCTAAAATTACATATAAAGTTAAAAAAATTGTGAAGCACGACTGACACGACACTTGATATATTAGGTATCTAGATAAGTAAAAAAATTAATCTATTTTGCTTAAATTAAATAAACATATTCTACACTTATGCATATACATGTCACCATATTATTTCTATTTATTTAAGATATATATTTTTGTACTTATGTAATAGTAAATAATATCAATATTTTTATATGATATAAGTAAAAAAATTCAACACGAGTTGACATTTTCATTTAACGTACGGGTGTTTAATTATTATAATTAAAAAAATATAATTTGACAATTTAATGAAACCCAAAGTAATGTTTTATATAAAATTAAATTATTTTAGTTTTTAAAAAAATAAAAAATTTAAAATTTTTTAACAAAAGCTTTCTAATTCAACACCCGTGTAATACACGGGTATTGTACTAGTGTTATTTGAATGACTGAAAAACCTTAAACTTAGGCAACCTAGAACATAAATCCCAAGAAATATAAAATATAAAATGTTTATCAAAACAAACTACTAAATAAACCATTAACTTATAAAAACATTATCTAATAGAAAAACTCTCTTAAACTCCATGCTCATCACATCCTTCCTCTTTGTCCTCAATCAAATTTCTATCATCATCAACTTTTGCTTTCCCTTTATTGCTTGTAACGAACTCAACAACAAATTGATCACTTAAATTGCATTTAGCAATTGAATTGTCCGCCACCACATCCTTGGGTTCAACAACCTTGAGCGACGTAGAAACCTCATCTTCAAACGTGGGATCCTACAATAATTTAATTTAAAAAAATTAACATAATATAAGAAATGTTATCATGATCGAGAATGATAAAACAATTCGATTGCATAATTTACCAATCCATTAGCTACCTCTTCTCGTGCTAAGAGAGTTAGGAAATCAGAATTCTGTGGAAAAAAATAATACAAAGGTAAACAACAATTACATAATATAGTTAATTATAATCTAAATATACATAACCAAATTAGGAATCAAGGTTATACTCAAATAGTCGAATACAAAATTTACTTACATCATACTCCACAACAAATTGACTATACTTGGAAACCAAGTTATTGTCAACGACAACTTTAATAGCAGAGAATGTGGAGCTTTGGTTTGTATGGGTCATTTTCCTTAATGCGAATCTTGAAGAGATATGACTTCCCTTGCAACTCTTCAAGTTCGTCGGGATGTTCGAAAATGGGTTTCTTCTGCGATAATATGAAAAAAATTTATTATGTTTGGGGCAGTAAAAGATCCATAATAATACTTAAAGATGGCAAAGATGAAACATAATTTACCAAATTAATCAAAGGCATTAAATCTATTATAAAAAACTGTTAAAAAAAAGATGTAAAGTTAGACCAATATAAAAGATGAATATATAAGACTAAAGATTCTTACTCCAAATCCATTATAGAGAACACAATCATTTGGGTAGGAACTCCCTTGACAACTTTCATTTGAATAGGTTGGATTGAAACAACCAATCCAATGATATCTACAAAAATATAAAATCAATTTATTACAGGTTTTAAATTAAAAAAATAAAAAAAAGAAACGAAATATTAAAAACAAAATTTATCGCGTACAAAACAACATGGCTTCCTCAATGTTACGAACATCCATCAAAGTTAGAAAGAGGATGAATTTCTTGATATTGACAGGTCAAATAATGCCCGTAATGCGTAAGGCCTAAGGCAATAAGATATTGAATAGGTTATTATCAAATAAACGCATAAAATATGTCGCATAGCATGATGCATTGGATTTTATACTAAAATTTAAAGTTAAATTCAGATTTAATTTAAATTCAAATAAATAAAAACAAATATATTACCTCTTCATCGTGAAAGATGATCTCAAGAACATTTCGGTAATTGCGTACATCTTCAACTCGTTGGAACATTCTAATTATGCGTAGCTTGATTGGTGGCTTTTTGGATCTTTCGATATCCTTGATGACTCCAAAATCCAAAGGCATTGTGAATGGTGTTGTAAAAGCTTGTTCTTAAAAAATGTATCGTGGATTGTATTGTATGTCGATATTTTGTTGTGCAGGGATGGATGTGTTTATAAAGTGGTTGTATGTATGGCGATGGAGCACTCACGGGATTGATTGATACTTTTCGATAAATATGATATTGTTATGGTTAACGTAAATCCCACATAAATTGATATTGATTTTGATATCCACGGTTTTGGTAAAGGAAATTCAAAATCGAATCACAAATCAGATAAAAAATCGAGATCAAGATTGGTACAAAAAGAAGATCAAAAGGAATAATTGGTCATACTATGGTTACAGAAATCCGATATATTTGGAAACGAAATATCGTTTACGCGTTTTTAGACCAAAAAGAAATCAAAGCCTTATTTTTTAGGTCAAGCTTACTATTTTTTAATTTTTCCATCACCCTCATTATATTATTATAGTTAATTAAATAATATCAACCAATCATTCTTACACATCACATCAACTTTAATTTACTATTCATCCTCTCACATAATTTTAACTATCACTTCACATTCTATTTCCATACATTTAAATCAAATTAATTTTAATTATTTTATTTTAATTATTATTTTAATATAAAATCAAAATCCCACTAACAACTAACCAACCATTTTTTTCAAAATTAACTCTGGTAAACCAAAAAAACTCATTTTGTACGAAAATATTTGTATACAAACACGCTCTTAGGCGTCGACTCTATATTATTATTATTATTATTATTATTATTATTTTTATAAAGTAGTTCTAATATTTTTAATATAAAAAAATATATTTAAATATTTTAGATATTTTTAAACATATTGGATTATTCAATTTATAATTGCACAATGTTATCATAAAACTATTAATACTTTTTAATTATTGGTCCAATTTTGGAATCACTCAGAATTGCATAGTTTTTTAGTTACAATTTTAAATGACGGATAAATTATCAACATAAGTGTGCACATAACACTCACAGACCCACCAAAAATAAAAAATCAAGTGGACCATAACATTCACATTGAGTGAGACCCGCTAAAAATAAAAAATCAAGTGGACCTCACTCCATTTGAGTGTTATGTATATCTTTTTGTACATTTATTATATACTTGTATTATTTTTCTATAAATTAATGTATAGGAATGTAGCATTCTATGACTTTGTGAAATATAATGAATGAGTTTATATTTTTAGTATGAATTAGTTTTCTTTTATCAACAGTATAAAGTCAAATCCTCTATACACTTTATTTAATTAGAGACAAAAGTATTAGAAATTTGTTATATTTGTTTTATTTTTATACCTAATTTCTACATTTGTTTTTTTTTCAAAATTGCAAAAAGTACACAAAAATAATCGATTTTTATCTATATTTATCAAATAATCTATAGATTCATTTGTAATTTTTTTTTTATTTAGTTTGATAAAGAAATTTAAATTTAATTATAAAGATATTATGAATTAAATTTTACTTATAAACACTGTCTCTCCCTCCTAGTTATTTTTTTATTTTTTTTTGGCATGCACTTGCCAGTGATTCAATTTCTTGTTGCCTTTTTTGGAGTTCAATAAGTTCTAAAAGATCATCCTGCATTTGTGCATATATTAAACACAACAAAGTCCTTTGAGATTAAAATGGAAGTTCAATCAACATTGAGATGACATTCTTTAACATCTGTACAAACAAACCAATATCACAAGAGCCACAAGATGCAAGAAATCCATCTGCATAACATTATATGAATTCTTACATGAATTTCTCCTTCTAAAAACGCTCCTTAACCAATCAAGAACCGAAAAACCATCACTCCTTAAGAACCTTCTTCCAACAGCTCGACTCCTCTACTTCTCCTCCGATCTCTAGTCGCCATTTTTAAACCATACCTCTCGAAAATATCACCCAAATCAAACAACCCCACCTCCCTAAACTTCCTAGCCATGGACTCAAACATGGTCACACCTTCCTCGTTTGAAAAACAATGCAAAAATTTATTATAATCGAATCTCGACACTTCAACCCCTCTATCAATCACCCTCTCCACGTACTTGCCCGCATCCAAAGGCTTTCCGGCCTTAACCAAACCCCCCACAAAGATAGTATCGAAGTTGACCAAAGGATCCTCCCCTGTTCTTCCCCTCTTCCCTAAATGCCCTTGCAACAACATGATATACGTATGCATTGTTGGCTCACACCCCTTTCTTATCATCTCCCGAAAAATGTCTGTAGCCTCGCTCGCCTTTTTTAGCTTCACGAGCCCCTTGATCATCCCGTGGTACAAAGATATGTCCGGATTCTCAACGTCTTCTAAAAATTTGCGTGCCTCGTTTATCCTTCCTCGACTCGAAAGCCCGTAAACAATCGACCCAAATATCTCGTTATCGGGATTTATCCCTCTCATACGCATTTCATCGAACATGATGCGTGCCTCTCCCATTTTGGCTTTCTTGCAAAGCCATTTGATCACGAGCTTGTAAGTCGAAAGGCCCAAATACTCTATTCTTTTCCCACGCGTCTCGTGGAAAAGCTTGAAGCCATCGTCGAACTTATTCTTCTTGAAAAGGGTCTCCAACATGACCTCAATCGCGTTCACGTCCGGCTTGAAACCCTCGTCCACCATTAAATTCCACACCTTCGAGGCCTCGATTAAATTGCCCACATCGCAAAAACCGTAGATCAACCATCTGTAGGTAGTCACATCGGGCTTGATCCAATCTTTCAACTTAACCACAATATGATTAGCCTCCAAGATAAGTTTGTTTTTACACAAAAACTCAACAACTATGTTAAAGGTCTCAACTTTATACACATACCCGAACCCATTCATCAAATGGAAAAACTCGACACATTTTTTCAGCTCCCTAGCTGCAGCTAACGTTCTCAAGGCAATTATGTAGGTCTTAACGTTGACTAGACGGAGTTGTCCGATTTCCCGGCAGAGTTCCCAGAAAAGGTCGATGTTTCTTGATTACAGCGTCGAGGATCTTGTTGAAGGTGGTGGGTGTGTGGGAGAAATTGAGTTGGGATGTAGAGAATAAGTGAAATCTGTAAATGGGCTGCCATGAATATGGGAATTTGTTGCAGACTTGGAGGAAAAACTCGTGGCTGAGATCGAATCGCGTTTTGGTGAGGCTGGCATGGAGCTTTGTGTTTGGGGCGTTTTGCTGCTGGTAGAGGACTGTACAGACTCGGAGGAGATGTGCTTCATTGATCGGTGATATGGGGTTTGCGGCCAAAGGCGGTGGAGCGCCGACAGAAGTTGCGGCGATGGTTAGGGATTGGAGGCGAAGGTAGAGGAAGTTTAGGGGACCTTTTGGGGTTTTCGTGTGTCGGAGCATTTGGGAGCCTTTGTCTGTGTCAAAGCAAATTTGAATGTTAAATACTCCTTTTTTTAATAATTGTCCTTTTGAGAAGTTGTACAGTAATTAAAAATATTTTTTTGTCAAAAATAACACCCATTAATGACGATTGAGGTGAATGTTTTAATAAAGAAATGAAGAGTGAATATGAAAAGAGGCAATGTATTTATTAGTTAAATAAGGGTAATAATGAAAAAATATTAACAAAAGATCCAAAATGTCACTTATTTGATAATTGTTGATAAAGTCAAAATGACATTTATATAAAAAAAAGAGGTAGTAGTAATTTAGGAAGATAAAGCAAAATCTAAACAAAAATGTATATTTTAGGTGCTAGGTGGAGAACACAAGTTTATTCCATATTATTTCATTTTTCTTCTTTGCTTGCCTGCCTTAGGTGACATGAATTTATGGATTGATTTTATTATTGGTATGATTAATTGTTTAAGTTATTCCTATATCCAATCAGTAGTTTTGCTATGAAGCCAACTGTAATGCCCCGTTTGATTATAGAATATTTGGGAATTTATTATTATTATTATTATTATTATTATTATTACTATTATTATTATTATTATAATGATTATTATTATTTACCTTTATTTGTTGTTATTATTATTGAATACTAAATATTATTAAATGCCTAAAATGATTTATCTGTCAATTTGCGATTAAAATATCTAATTGTCTAAATGATATTTATTATTTAATATTATGTGTGTATTTGTATTATTAATAATATTATTATTTTATAATTATGTGTATTATAAATATAAATAATATCTGTTTTATTTTTATCGTCAATCATATCGATCGGGAACTCTCGTTGTCGCGTTATATTTCGTTCGGCCGATTAAATTGGTTCCGACCCAATTTATATGATATATCTAACCCAAGAGTACCTAAGAGTTGCTAAATTGTCGGCCCAAACTAATAATAAGCAACCCATTTTCGGCCCATTTTTAATTGCCACCAAATCCCACTTTCAGTCTCTCTCATTTTGAACAGAGAAGAACGAGTCGCAACTAACTTGAACTTCCCCTCTTTTCTCGGCCATCAATCCGCCACCAGCAGCGACCACGACGCCCGACCTGCTTGAAATCCGGCGAGCTCACCCACATATCTCTCTTCCCTTCAAGCCCTATTTTTCCACCTATTTAAGGAACCCTCCAATTAGCCGCCACTCTCATTTTCTCCTTCAGTAAAAAGTTCACAGAGAATTCGCAGAGATGGCCCAATTGTACCAGCCATCCCTCACGGCAGAGCTTCGTTTTTTTTCGACAGCAAGGGCACCATGTTCCGGCGAGTCGATCACCACCAGCCCGACTACGAGCAGAACCAGCGAATTCGAAAGCCAGCCATTTCTGGCTACGAGGAGTCCGTGCGCGCCGACGACCTCCGAGACCTTTGAGCTCTGACCTCCGATCTCTAGACGGACAACTAACTTCTATCTCGAGCCGCGATTCCCCGAGCTCCTCCGCGACCTGAGTCCAATTTCCCGGCGAGAGCAGCCGAATCGGCCCAACGACGAGATTCCCGGCGACGCGAGGTAGTCGAACCGAGAACGAGCAGCAGCGGCACCCCGTCGGCCTTCTTCTAGGGCCCGAATAGCATCGGCAGCCCTTTCGGGTCTCGTGTGAGAATAGCGGCAGCCGTTCGAAGCTTTATCGAGCAACTGGAGACCTCGAATCAGCGGCAAGCCGGCTCCTTTTCAACGAACAGAAACGGCCCCTTCCGACGGGTTTCGTGGTCGACTCCAGGCAGCCATCTCCCCGTCGGCTTCTTTTCCGAGCACTGCCGACGCTGGGAGATCCTCCTCCCCCTCTCGTACAAATTCCAGCGACCTCCCTCGTGCAGCCCGTGAACGTGAACAGCCCAACGAAGAACGAATAGCCGCAGCCGAGAAACAGCGGCGTTCATGTGCGTGCAGCTGAGGCGAGTGAGGTCAATGTCTGGGAGCTTTGTGCTGAAATCCGATCCCAACGTCTTCGTGCTTATGGATTTGAAGAGTGGTAATCTCGAATTCCTTTTCCTCTTCGGGTGTTTAGATTCTTGATGTGAATTGTTGGGCAAAGATGCTTGAATGAGTTGGTGTTTGCCTTGGATTATTTGTTTTTGTGTTGGGCTGAGAGCATGCTAATATCTATGTTGCATGTATGTTAAATGTTTTGAGCAGAAACATGTACCGAGGTACTAATCTTCAGCCTTGGATTTCATGTGCTTGATTGGTTAAGGCTAGAGAAAAAGGGACTTGTGTATTGTTATGTTTTAGCTTTGTTTGGTGTAGTTGTAGTTTGAGCCTTGCTATGTGCTCTTATTTTTTTCCTAGTGTGGCTAAGCCATTTGAATGCCATTTATGTGCTTTAAGTTCAGATTTAGTTGCAGTTATTTAAAGCCTTCTTGAACTTTAGATTTGTTGAGAAAGAAAATGCATATATATTGAGTTAAGCCTGTTGATGTCCAGTTTTGGTTCAATTTCACTGAAGCTCCTGAATGCATTTTATGCCATGTTCATACTTGTTATTATGAGTGCTTAAGGTGCTAATTGCTTCCATGAAATTGAGTTTTAAGTATGATAAGAGTTTCTAGATTTTGCTAGCCAAAGAAGCTTCAATGTGTTGATCTTTTTAACTTGATTTTATCTATCTATTTGCTTTATTTTATTATTCGATCCCTTCTGTTTTAATATTTAATGGACTGATTGAGCGGAACCAAAGCCTTATATTAATCATTTAGAAACATGTTATACTTCATAGCATAATACGATGGTAGGTATACATGATGTTGACCTTCAGTATACAAAATATTGAAATCTTTCTTTTTAGACTTTCTACATTATCATTGTCATGTATCATATGTGTGAATGGGGATTCCATAAAATATTTTTCCAAGGAAATTAACTTACGATTGGTGCCACTTTTTTTTATCTTAATTTATTTCATTGCTGTTTGTGGAAATTGAAACCTCTTAGAACTGTAATTAGAGTTTAAGAAAGTCAAGAGCCATGTGTAGTATGTTTCTGGCCTTATTCTTTTGTGTTTATTTTCATGTTATTTGCCTTGGTTATAAGTGTTATCTTGAGGCTGTTACTACATGTTTGTTTTCTACCTAAGTTTTAGAGTTTAAGATCAGTCTTATTTGGCCTTATTTGAGTTAGAAAAGATGTGAGAAAATTTTCAAATAATTTTCTGAGTAGTGAGATAATTTATTGATGGTATTTATCTCATTAAATTTTAGGTGTTTGAGGAGTCGAGTCCTCGACCTACGTTTCTACTATTTGTGTGCTTTGTCTACCTCGTCAACCAGGTGGGTTTTATTTGAAAAGTTTCTATGCATTAATTAATTGTTATTGTTGTGGTATGATCAAAGTATGCATGTGAACCATGTAGCCTTCGATGTGAGCTATATTGGCCGTCGAACGGTTATCCCCGTAGCTATAGAACGTACCCGATGGGTGTCTCCTTTATTTATGTATGGCAGTCAGGGCGTGAGCCTTGGCTGGTGATCCTCGATGTAAGTCCGAAGGAATGTTTCCAGGCTTTCGGGGTGGATTTACTCCTACTGTCTGGGCATCGAATGTAAGGCCCGCGGGGGTTTTCGATACGTGTATCAGCAGTGGTCTATTGGTATAGGTGTGCACATGAGAGTTGACTCTGGGAAGGAGATGGGATATAAATTGATTTGTGTTCATACTGCGACCATACCTACTTATTTTATGAAATTGAATAATAATTATTGCATAGTGGTGAGCACCTCGATTTCCTATTGTGCTCATCCCCACCTGCTCTTCATTGATGCAGGTTAGTAATTGCGGGCACGACAGAGAGAAGCGAGTGGTGGTCATGTTATCGTTTATTTCCGCTGCTTAAATTGTTTATCATGATTTATGCATTCCTGATTTATGTTGAGTACTGGATTATCGATAGGGATTGTACTCCCTGGTATTTATGGATTGATGAACCCAGTTTTGGGAATTGATGTCATTTATGAACCCGGTTTGGGAGTTGACTACTTATGATTATTGAACCCGGTTGGGTGTCGACTATTTATGAATTTTGAACTTGTTGGGAATTGCATATGTGATATTGTTGGAATTGTTTTGAAAAATGAGTAGCGCCTCAAGTGTTTTGAAATAAATTTTGAAAAATTTATTCTGAATTTTGGCAAGTAAAAGTGGGGCGTTACACCAACAGTTGAGTAGATAATGAGATTTTTGCTATGAAGTCAACAGTTTAGGAGATAATGAGGTTTTGCTATTAGATCAACAGTTTCATTTCAGTATAAGATCTTTTGGCTTAAATTTTAGATAAGAAATTTTGCTATGTTCAGGTGAGAAGAATTCCAAAGCTGAGGAGTCGAAGAAGAAAGAGGTGAATATTTTATGTACTTGTAGCATTTCTCTTCTAAATATTTAAAACACAAGACACACACACACACACACAAATAGGCCTAACTTCTAATTGTGTTGTTTTATTATTTTGTTTTATTATTTATTTACTCTAAAGTTCATTAAATAGGCCTAACTTATTTTGTTTTATTATTTATTTACTCCTTCTACCACCAATTGTTGTTTTATTATTTATCTCTGTGTGTGTCTTGTGTTTTAAATATTTAAAAGAGAAATGCTACAAGTACTTAAAATATTCACCTCTTTCTCTGGTTTTGCTTCCTTCGACTCCTCAGCTTTGGAATTCTCCTCACCTGAACATAGCAAAATCTCATTATCTAAAATTTAAGCAAAAAAAATCTTTTGCTGAAATGAAACTGTTAATCTAATAGCAAAACCTCATTATTTCCTAAATTGTTGACTTCATAGCAAAAATCTCATTATCTACTCAACTGTTGGCTTCATAACAAAACTACTGATTGAATATAAGAACAACTTAAACAATTAATCATACCAATAATAAAACCAATCCACAAATTCATATCACCTAAGGAATGCAAGCAAAGAAGAAAAATGAAATAATATGGAACAAACTTATGCAAGCAAAGAAGAAAAATGAAATAATATGGAACAAACTTGTGTTCTCCACCTAGCACCTAAAATATACATTTTTGTTTAGATTTTGCTTTATTACCCTAAATTACTACTACCTCATTTTTTTATAAATGTCATTTTGACTTTATCAACAATTAGTCAAATAAATGACATTTTGGATCTTTTGTATATATTTTTTCATTATTACCCTTATTTAACTAATAAATACAATACATCTATCCATATTCACTCTTCATCTTTTTCTCAAAACATTTACTTCTATCCTCATTGATGAGGGTTATTATTGACAAAAAAAAATACTTTTAATTATTGTACAACTTCTAAAAAGGACACTTATTAAAAAAATGAGGAGTATTTAACATTCAAATTTGTTTTGACACTGACAAAGGCTCCCAAATGCTCCGACACACGAAAACCCGCAAAGCTCCCCTAAACCTCCTCCACCTCCGCCTCCAATCCCTAACCACCGCCGCAAACCCTGTCAGCGCTCCACCGCCTCCGGCCGCAAACCCCATATCACCGATCAACGAAGCACACTTCCTCCGAGTCTGTACAGTCCTCTACCAACAGCAAAACGCCCCAAACACAAAGCTCCATGCCAACCTCACCAAAACGCGATTCGATCTCAGCCACGAGTTCTTCCTCCAAGTCTGCAACAAATTATCATATTCATGGCAGCCCATTTACAGATTTCACTTATTCTCCACATCCCAACTCAATTTCTCCCACACACCCACCACCTTCAACAAGATCCTCGACGCTGTCGGAAAATCAAGAAAAATCGACCTTTTCTGGGAACTAACGTTAAGATCTACATAATTGCCTTGAGAACGTTAGCTATAGCTAGGGAGCTGAAAAAATGTGTCGAGTTTTTCAATTTGATGAATGGGTTCGAGTATGTGTATAAAGTTGAGACCTTTAACATAGTTGTTGAGTTTTTGTGTAAAAAAAAACTTATCTTGGAGGCTAATCATATTGTGGTTAAGTTGAAAGATTGGATCAAGCCCGATGTGACTACCTACACATGGTTGATCTACGATTTTTGCGATGTGGGCAATTTAATCGAGGCCTCGAAGGTGTGGAATTTAATGGTGGACGAGGGTTTCAAGCCGGACGTGAACGCGATTGAGGTCATGTTGGAGACCCTTTTCAAGAAGAATAAGTTCGACGATGGCTTCAAGATTTTCCACGAGACGCGTGGGAAAAGAATAGAGTATTTGGGCCTTTCGACTTACAAACTCGTGATCAAATGGCTTTGCAAGAAAGCCAAAATGGGAGAGGCACGCATCATGTTCGATGAAATGCGTATGAGAGGGATAAAGCCCGATAACGAGATATTCGGGTCGATTGTTTACGGGCTTTTGAGTCGAGGAAGGATAAACGAGGCTCGCAAATTTTTAGAAGACGTTGAGAATCCGGACATATCTTTGTACCATGAGATGATCAGAACATTGAGAATTCGGACATATCTTAGAGAGGTATGGTTTAAAAATGGCGACTAGAGATCGGAGGAGAAGTAGAGAAGTCGAGCCGTTGGAAGAAGGTTCTTAAGGAGTGATGGTTTTTCGGTTCTTGATTGGTTAAGGAGTACTTTTAGAAGGAGAAATTCATGTAAGAATTCATATAATGTTATGCAGATGGATTTCTTGCATCTTGTGGCTCTTGTGATATTGGTTTGTTTGTCCGAAGAACGCAGATTAATGAAGTTGTCGAAAGGGTATGGTTGTAAATTCAAAAAATAACTCGGGTTATTTTGTAATTGGACTTGCTTGAAGATGTTTTTGGTGATGAGCCTTATTAGTGTGTTTAACTTATTGATTTTTAGAGATGGGTTGATCAAGTTATAGGTTACAGATGTTAAAGAATGTCATCTCAATGTTGATTGAACTTCCATTTTAATCTCAAAGAACCCAAATTTCTTGATTCTAAATAGCAGAGGCAAGTAGATAAGTTGAACTTGACAGGACTTTGTTGTGTTTAACATATGCACAAATGCAGCANTTTCTGCAATTTTTAAAAAAAAAACAAATGTAGAAATTAGGCATAAACATAAAACAAATATAACAAATTTCTAATACTTTTGTCCCTAATTAAATAAAGTATATAAAGGATTTGACTTTACTATACTGTTGAAAAAAGAAAACTAATTCATACTAAAAAAATAAACTCATTCATTATATTTCACAAAGTCATAGAATGTTACATTCCTATACATTAATTTATAGAAAAATACTACAAGTACATAATAAATGTACATAGAGATATACATAACACTCACATGGAGTGAGGTCCACTTGATTTTTTATTTTTAACGGGTCTCACTCAATGTGAGTGTTATGGTCCACTTGATTTTTTATTTTTGGTGGGTCTCCCTCAATGTGAGTGTTATGTACACACTTATGTACAATATTAAGTACTTATAGCATTATGTTAAACCATCATATCATTCATCCACATTAATTTATATTTTACACCATTAAATATGTGAAATTTGAAGATACTAGAAAGCCAAATAAAGTAAGTTATTGTTGTTATTATTTTGATAATTTATCCGTCATTTAAAATTGTAACTAAAATAAACTATGCAATTCTCCAATATGTTTAAAAATATCTAAAATATTTAAATATATTTTTTTATATTAAAAATATTAGAACTATTTTTATAAAAAAAATAAAAAATTCGAACCAATCAGACTGACTGGTTTTTTTTTTATCAAATTTTTGGCAAACGGCTTTTTTTGTGAGGACTCAAGAATGCAAACTAATATAGGCAAGAGACATACTTAAAATAAAATAAATAAAAATATGGGGTTTTTTCATATAATAATAATAATAATAATATAGAGTCGACGCCTAAGAGCGTGTTTGTATACAAATATTTCCATACAAAATGAGTTTTTTTGTTAACCAGAGTTAATTTTGAAAAAAAATGGTTGGTTAGTTGTAAGTGAAAGTTTGATTTTATATTAAAATAACTAGTACGTAACTCGTGCGATGCACGGGATGTAAAATTTGGAAAAATAATATAACCTCACGTGCATTAGGATCGAAATTGAAATCATTAAAATACACAGGAACATTGTTGAATCATAAAAAGTTCGGTAACTATCATATATTATTAAAAACCTCCTTGTACACAACATTATGAGTTTGATTATTTGGTAACTCCTCATTATCACAAACTAATATTTTTAAAAGAGACAAATCCTAAAAATCAAACTAATATTTTTGGTGAACAAACTAATATTTTAGGATTGGTGAACAAATTAATATTTTAGAATTTCTAGGATTTGTCTCTTTTTGGTGAACAAACTAATATTTTAGGATTGGTTATATGAATAAGGCTACCTATTTTTGGTGTTCTTTTCATTCATTTTCATTCAAACAATCCGATGACTTGTATAATGAAATCCGAATCTTAAGCCGAAATATTTAAAAAAATAGTTTTTAAAAATTGAAATGTCAAGGCAATCAGTTCAGATTAATTAAAGGTCAAAGAATATCCGCTCCTTGAAATAAAGACGTGTGCAACATTAACCAAATATCCGGTTATTGATATAGAGTGGTTACCAAAAAATAGAACGCGATAAGAACGCTTCTGAAAATATCAATGAGATAAGGTCATAACAGATTGCTATACATTTTAACGATAAAAGCTCAGATGGAATGATTTATGATAATTATGTTGTAATTAATGAATTAATTAGATGTGTAAAAATGACATAATTAATGAGAAGTGTGAAAATGACATAATTGATGAGAGTGTGAAAATGACATAATTAATGAGAAGTGTGAAAATGACATAATTAATGAGAAATGTGAAAAGGACAAAAACTTACCAGTTTTGGAAAATACTTAATGCAAATCCGACATTGACCATAATTTGACCTACTATTTTGGATAAATGTTAATTCTTATTATATAAGTATAGATAATTAAAATAAAATAATTAAAATTAATTTGATGTAAATGTATAGAAATAGAATATGAAGTGATAGTTAAAATTATGTGAGGGGATGAATAGTAAATAAAAGTTTGTATATACATATATACCACTCAAAAAAGAGTTGTTGACTAGAGAAAAAACTAGTAATATTTTCAATTTCCTTATGTTCATTTGAAACAAGATGGTTCTTATGAGATTAATTAGGTTCTTTTTATTAAAAAGACATAAATTTATCTAATTTTATGTATCTTATTTATTTTGCATAAATTTATCTAATTATATTAATCAATTTCATTTTTTTATTTAACAAATACCAATTTATGCTTATTTTATTCATTTCATTTAAATTTATTATTTAATATATTATATTTAAATAGTTCATTTTATTTCATATTATTTTGTTTTATTATTTATTTACTCTAAAGTTCATTTATCTTACTTATTCTAAATATTTTATAACAATATTTTCGGTTTGTCGTAGTTATTTAAAATAAATTTAAATTTGAATTCATCTTACTTTAATTAGATTTATTTAATTTATTAATTAAATTAAGCTTACCTAATTTATTATTTACAGTATATTTTACAGTATACAATTTTATTATCTCAAATTGATTTTTACAATTTTAATTTATTTTACCATTATTATTTTTGTTTCATTATATTATTAGCTGGGTTAGGCAGTTTGAGTTGTACTGATTGGTTGTTTGATTAGGTTGGGCCAGTTATGTACTTAACTAAAAGATGCGCCCAGCATTTGTAAGGATTGATAGCGATAGCCAGGGCCCAAGAAAACCAGGTCCAAGGGGAATAGAAAAGCTCACCATAGCGGTTTGGCCCAAATAATATGTCTGTGGCCCAAATTAAATTTCTTGCGGATTAAAATTGTTATGTAAAACATTATGAAGTCTAGTGGCAGCCTATGAAAATTGGGCCCAGTGGATGGCAGACCCAGCGAGACTTATCATTAAGTTATATATGATGTTTTAACAACTTCAATCATCAAGAAAGTGAGATTCAATCATCGGCAATATCCAATTAGAAAAAAAAAAAATTGAAAACGAAAAAAAAAATCCCAAGTTGGTAATTTCCTAGTATAAACAATAACCAGATTATGGCTCCAATCTATATATATATAATAAAAATTAACATTTTTCAAAAATAATAAGCAAAAGAATAAGGAATATTAATTGCATTCTATTTTTGGTATGTTTTTCTAATTTTTTTAATAAAAAAATCAATTAGCATTTAATGTAGCACACATCATGGGATTTGTTATATAGATGCATATTTGAATTTCAAACTTCAAACAAAACATGCCTAAATGTATTTTGAATTTTTTAGGACAAAAATTTAACAAACAGGTGAAAGATTTCATACAATACATATATTTATATATATTGTCTTAACATACAGGTTAATTAGTTTAATATCTAAACAATATATATTTAAACAATATATAAACAAATATAATAGTTTGTTGTACAATACAGACAAATATATAAACAATATATTTATATACAAATATAATAAACAATACAAACAAATATACAAACAATATACAAACAAATATAATAACTTGTCACGTGTATATTTCGTACAATACATATATTTATATATATTATCTTAACATATAAGTTAATTAGTTTCATATCTAAACAATATATATTTTAGGAACTTAAAGATTCATAACATTACTGACATCATGTATATTTATAATATATTGTCACGTACATTTTACTACAACTTGTAACCTTTTTAAAATTATTTGAATAATTGGAAGTTGATTTATAATTTCAATTTCAAATTCATTCAAACATTTAAAAGAAAATATCATAAGTAGATTTTTTTGATACATTTCATTTTATCTCAACTTACATATGATCACATTCTTACCAAACATTAAATTTGCTTATATCTTTTTAAATTAATTACATCAATAAATAATATTAATATACATTACATATTTATCATTATATAATAAATATATTACTTCTACAAGTGTTATAAATAATAATTACATTATATGATAATAGATTTTTTGATAGATTAGTAATGGAGTATTATGATGAACCAAAATATGTAAAATTATTATTATTTTGTATTAAAAATAAATATATATGTTAAAATATTATTTATATAATAATATATACAGGTCAACATGCTAATATATTGTGAAAATAAAGTTTTAAGAAAAAGTTCTAAAGTACGAAAACCCCGTGCATCGCACGAGATTCTCACTAGTTGTACAAGCTCTCCAAAAGAAAATAAAAAATTAGAAAAAAAAAACCGTAAAATGAAAAGGCAATCACACATGCAAAAGTACAGAGATGAAAATGTTTTTTTTTTTCATCAATAGAGATGAAAATGTAATTGCTGAAAACGACTAGAGGATATAACGTGTAAGTGAAGAATGCATCCTGTCTAGGTGAGGAAATGTGTGTTAATGATTGGTATCCGATGGTTAATTCCACTATGTTAGAGCAAAAACTGAAAAATGTAAATACAATAGCCCGTAACATGCATATGCCAAAACATCCAAAAATTCTGAATAATAGCATATTGTAAACAGCATAACATGTAAATCAAAGGCACAAAATCTAAAAGCATATAAGTTTTGGTCTATAATGACACTGACCTGATAGTAGGGGCAGAATCACATTGCAACAGCTTATGATGCATAATTCTTTTTAGTTCCCCATCGTAGATCTCTGATGAAAACAAATAATCAATAATCCTCTCAGAGCCGGCCATGACATGCTTTTTAAGTGCACAGACTTACAGATTCAAGACGAAGCTTCTGCTTGTCATTTCCCTAGCCATGTAAGTACAACACACCCAAAGTAACTAACTGAAGCATTAGGAGGCATGTTGAACATGACATCAAACCAGTCAAGAGAT